AGCCCAGGCTGGCCTCAAACTCACAGAGATCCGCCTGGCTCTGCCTCCCGAGTGCTGGGATTAAAGGCGTGCGCCACCAACGCCCGGCGCCTAAATCATTTTTATCATACTTTGTATTGCCAACCTAAAAATATCTTTTTAGACCTTAAAACATTTTCTTGGATAAACAACTTAAGCTTTTATGTCTCTCAACCTTATACATTTTACATCTCTTTTGTAAGTTTCTTTTCTGAATTTGGTAAAAAGAAAACTGTGATTATAACTATCTCATCTTCAACTCCATCAGAGACCTGAGAAGGATAAACTATTACTTGAGTAAACAGGCAGTACAGAGCAAACAACTTCTAAAACTAAGAAACAACAGAGACATCTGGCTGCCTGGAAAGTCACCCAAGGTTCCTGTGCAACATTGGGGCATCCATCTTTGGCCTATGGGCCTAAATATCTGTCAGACTTTTCCGTGAAGCAGGAATTTTAAAGGACTGTCCCACTTTGTCTTGGCAAAGTTTGGCAATTGTCTTCTTTTGTGTCCCGCTTGTCCAATTTGGACTGCATTCTGTCAGCAGTTGAGGCAAGGGCAGTTTCTTGCCCAAATGGCTAACTGTGCCACAACGAAAGCAAACTCCATATGGAGGTTCTTCAATGCCCATCATCCTTTGTGAAGTAAATTGGTGCTGCCAGAAACATATGTGTCTGTCATGAAAAGCCCCATGATATTAAACATTAAATTGCCATATTCTATAGGTCTCTGAAGTGTTAGAAGACCATCTATCTGTTTCAAATATATCTGTTTGACTTTGAAAATATACCTAACATGGTTATAAGTTTGATTGTTGTAGATGACTAACTACTAACCTGTATTTCTTTATTATCCTAAATAGCTTTCAAGGACTAGAACTTTACATTACATTGTTAAATAAGCTGCATAGGTACAATACCCTAAACAAGAGTAGAAACATATACACGGTATAACAAAATAACCTTAAATTTGTATCAATATATAAAAATCCATACCGATGTAAAATATTTGAGACTAGTGGTTATTCAAAAGTAAACTCATCAAACCACCCTTTTATATCATCATTTCTATACTATATCCCCCTTTTTCCCTTCAGAAAGAGATCCCTGAATATAATCTCCTTTGTTCAGCTTTTGCCTGGCAAACTCTAATTTATTTAAATGCCATATTCTCTAGGTCTATGAAGTGTTTGAAGATTACCTGTCCATCTGACCTATGTATCTGTAAATCTGGACAATGTAACTAACATAACTATAGAAATGACAAGCATGGGTGACTATAAATCTGTAAGTCTTATTTACCTAAATAAACCAATGACTAAGGCTTCATAAAAATAAGGTAAACATTCTGTAAGCAAATGTATGGTAAAAGGACAATGACCTCAAAATTGTGATAATATAAAAAATATCTTAAACAGAGGTAGAAATGTATATATAGTGTAATATGCAATATGACACCAATCCTAAATATGTATGAATATATAAAATATCCTAAACAGAAGTAGAACATACATACAGTATGACAAATATAATTTTACATTTGTATCAGTATATAAAGTATTTCAAATAAGAATGGAAATATATATACATTATAACAAATATAATTTTGTATTTTCATCAATATACAAATTATCTTAAATAGGAATATAAAAATAATTTATATTTGTATCAATATACAAGAAACCATAACAGTGCAAATTATCCAAGGCTAACATTTCACTAAATTAGTTTACTAGTATATACAATAATCTACCTTAATATCCCATACCCATCCATTCCCCTTTTTTAAGCTCTGCCTTGATCTGCACCAGCATCCAAGACCACAAGGTAGTAAGTTGAAGAAAGAGCACATATGTCATCCCAGGTCTTAAGGGGTTCCTGTCTGGGCCACGCCCCAGCGGGGAAGGTACCTAGCAGCTACCTGCTGCCTCACTAGGGGAGATGCTTCAGGGTAATAAGTCACAGACAATCACTCCTACACTACAGTTCCAGGGGACCTGATGCTTTCTCCTTTCTGGTTTCTTTTTTTTTTTTTTTTTT